GCAGAGTGCCTTCGCCGTTCCTCCCGGCCCCTCCTGGAGAACAGCTCCAAGGTGCGATGCTTCTTGAAGCAGCACATCCCTGGCGTGGCCCTGGAGCGGCAGCGCTCCCTCAAGAAGTCTAAGAAGGAGAACGACGTCTCCCACACGCTACAGGAGGTGGCCCTGGCCCCAGAGAACCCCTCCAAATCCATCCTCAAGCGGCCCAAGGGCATCCTGAAGAAGAGAAACTCCTGTGAGCAGAAAGTGCCCGGCCCTGGTCCCCCACCAGCAGCACCCGCGGGAGAGGCAAGGGGTGAGGATGGCAAGGTGGCTGATGCAGGTCTCACCCGGATCCTGTCCTCTGGGATGCTGCCCTGCAGCACGGGTGACGAAGCAGTGCCCATGGCCATGCCCAAGAAGGGAATATTGAAAAAGCCCTCAACAAGGGAGTCAGGGTATTACTCGTCCCTGGAGTGCTGCGAGTCTGGAGATGTCCTGGATGCGGGGAGCTTGGACCTTGATGGGAACGTGTTTGCTGACACCCCCTGCCCGGAGCAGGGTCCCCCGGGCCTCCCTGCCCGCCGGAAAGGCATCCTCAAGCACAACAGCAAGTACTCCTCCAGCAGCACCGAGCCGGACAGCCCCCCTGGGCAGGGTTTCGGGGGCTTTGCTGGGGTGCCCCTGTCCCAGGTGCCCCGTGCCCGCCCATCCAGCGCTGTGAGCGAGGACAGCATCCTCTCCACGGAGTCCTTCGATCAGCTTGACCTGCCCGCCCGTGTCCCCCACGGTGGTGGGGGCATGCGGGGCTGCATCTCTGCTGACAGCCTCCTCCGGCTGGAAGAGGAGGAGGAGGAGGTGGAGGAAGGGCGCAGGCTGCGCCGCTGGACTGTAACCCATTGCCGGAGTCCCCTGGGAGAGAGCAGCTTGTCTCTGGCGGGCTGTGACAATGTCACCGAGGTCTACCGGCGCGCCGTCGCCATTGGCATGAAGCTGAGCTGAGGGCACCTCCTGGCAGGGCTCCCCGGGGTAGGGTGTGCTGGGGAGAGGGCCGAGCCCTCCTGCCTCGGGTCTACCGGTGCCAGGAGCCACGTCCCACCTATTTATTTTGCAGCCTTGTGCCCCTCGGGGAGGAGTACGGGTGCAGGTGGGGAGGGAGCTGTGGTGGCTGTGGGGTGTCGCTTGGGTGGACACCCCAGGACATTAAATGGACCAAAGCCCTGAGTGATCCAGCCACCACCTCTGGGGGGTCCCGGAGGCTCCTCACTGCTGTCCTCCCCTTGTAAACAGGTTCATCTCACTGCGGGGGGAGGGGGAAACCAAGGGGATGGGGGGATTTTTTTTTTCTTTGCACTGTTTTTTGGCTGCACAAGAGAACGGTTGGGGCGGGTGATATACCTCAAACGAGCTGGAGATGTTGCAGGGTGTGGGCGAGGGGCTGAAAGGTGCTGCCCTGGCTGCTGCCGGTGGGCTCGGCTCTCGGGGACATGCTGGCAATGGGGGTCCAACCACCCACACCCCAGCTCTTCCCTCTGCTGCGCTGAGAAATCCAACTGGATCTGGCCAAAACCCCCATCTGAGAACACGCTCTGATGCCAACAGCTTTTTTTTTTTTTATGTTGAAAGGAGGAAAAAAAAAGTGCCTTTGGTAAGGCACCGCTTCTTTATTTATTGCCTTTGTCCGACCTGATGTAAGACTTGAGCAGCACAGGATGGGTCTGGCTCCGTAACGGCCACCCAGATGTTTTTCAGAGGGGGGTGGGGGGTCTGTGCCGTTGTCTCACGTGCCGCACGTCGCAGCTCCGTTGCACTATTGCCCCATGTTCGCTGGCCTTTTCCCTTCCCCAGGGTATGTGTTTTCTCCTTCCTACCAAGTGGTCTTGAGAAAACCATTAAATTAAAAGCAAATGGTAGACACGAGTTGTTCTCTTGGTTGTTGTGCCTGCTGTAGCTGGGAGGGGGGTAGGGAAGAGTGATGGCGTGCTGCTGCCTCTAGCTGCCTGTACGGGCTGGTGGTTTGTGGCTCCCACTGGGACAGGGATTTGCATGGCAGTGAGGATGCTGGGATGGGGCTCAAACTGGTGCCTCCCCCCAGCGCTGCGTGGTGCTGAGCTGTGACTTGGCATATTCCTTACGTGGGGGCCCAGCATGCACAGAGGGTGATGGGCTGTAGTTTTTAAGGCTGAGCAGCTGTGTGACCCAGCGAGGGGGGCACTGGCTGGAGGCAGGATCTGCTGTTGGGGTCCCCTGGCACTGGTGCGGTGATGCTGCCTGGGCCGTGCCCCTGACCTAGAGGGGAATGGACAAGCAGAGCCAAGAATTTGAGGTAAGCTGCAATGGAGGTGAGTGGCTGCTGAGGATGGTATGGACCAGTTGGAGCAAGTCCAGAGGAGGCTGTGGAGATGCTCCGAGGGCTGGAGCCCCTCTGCCATGGGGACAGGCTGGGAGAGTTGGGGGGTTCAGCCTGGAGAAGGGAAGGCTCCAGGGAGACCTTAGAGCCCCTTCCAGTGCCTGGGGGGCTACAAGGAAGCTGGGGGGGGACGTTTCCAAGGTCAGGGAGTGACAGGACAAGGGGTAACGGGTTTAAACAGAAAGAGGGAGATTGAAATGGGACATCAGGAAGGAATTCTTCCTGGAGAGGGTGGGGAGGCACTGGGACAGGTTGTTCAGAGAAGCTGTGGATGCCCCATCCCTGGAAGTGTCCAAGGCCAGGCTGGATGAGGCTTGGAGCAACCTGGTTGAGTGGAAGGTGTCCCTGCCCACGGCAGGGGGTGGGACTGGGTGGGCTTTTAAGGTCCCTTCCAACCCAAACCATTCCATGACTTTGTGACAGACCTGTCCCCCTTCCCGTTGTGGGCAGCCCAGCTGTCCTGCTTTCATCAATGTTGGTGGTGTGTGGGTTTAGATTTGTGAAGTACCTGCAGGTCTTGACAGCAGGAGGTGTGTCACCTCCCTGGGGGGAGCTGCCCTCTCCTCTCCCAGTGCCTGCCCTTGCCTCCACCTGAGGAAGGGCTGGGTAAGACAGCCCCAGCAGCTGGAGCTCAGCTGTCTCCTCTCCAGCCCTTTCCCCCAGCATCATTTATCCTCTCCTCCTGCGACACTGAAACCAGTTTTATTGCTCTATAAAGCACTGTAACAATTTCCCATTTGCAGTTGCGTTAATGGGAGACATTTTGGGTCTCCTCCGCCCCCCTGTGAAGAGGCTGAGCTGCAGGGGCAGGGTGGCAGGGCTGCCTGCCAGGAATG